GTAATAATAAAGACAATAATAATGGAGAGTAGGCTGCAGATGCAAGCTCTTACAAGCTACTAGAAAATCTCATCATGTGTATAACACACTGTCCACAAGTAAATACAGAATATGTATGCAATAACGGTGACAATACCCTGTGAATGATGAATGAATGCATTTTTAAAAAGAAAAATGAAGCTAATTATAGTCTCCATGACAACTATGTAAAGAGATGCAACAATCCTTACCATACTCACTTGCACAAACCGTGAAGGAGAAAGGTACTATGAGATCTAAATGGGGTCCAAATTAGCACGAAGGGATTGTCAAGGAATATAGTTTAGCCCGTAGCTAACATTAAGGTTCAAATAAGTACACTAACTTGTATGCAAAAGGCAACGTGAGATACGATGCTGATGCAAGGAATCTCCTGATTGTATAAGATTTTGTGCAAAGGTTCAATGGTACTACAAGGGACTCATGCTATAATTAACATGTCAGTTGTAACTAAAAGGACTTGACATGCAGTGGATACAATGATGTGACATGTCGAAATGCTTCTAAGTGAACATCAAAACACAATGTATCACACTCCACTAGAGTTAGTGATGAATATTTGACAAATGTATTGTCAAAGATTAGTGCAGAGTTTGGTGGCCTAAACTCACAGTTACAGTTGAAAAATATACCTGTTGTTCCAGTCATCTCAAAGACTGCAACAATTATTTTAGGAATGGGTACCTCCCACAGCTATCTTAGATGGTTCGAAGTATCTTCGATTGCCGCAATTGTTAGTTCAAGACAATGGCCATCAACTTCGAAGTACAAGACATCAGGTGTTGCCTACAAATTATTATATGAGTTTTGGGAAGATAAAGTCAGATCAACTCATTATGGAGTGAGTGAATCTCAGTTCATTCAGGTTCTGAACATCGAGTTGAATAAGATTATTGAGGCTTGCAAGTTTCTTGATAAATAATGGTCGTGCGTCCGACATATCTTCTACAAATATTGAAGCGTTACGACAAACACAGATTTCTACGAGCCATCGTAGAAAACCAGTTGAATACTACAAGAATGCCCCCCACGTGCACCATAGTTTGTATACACATAGATACACAAGGGGTAAGTGTAATCATAACCCGTATGGACCCCGACGAGCGTGTTATTGGTACACACGTGACGTCTAAGAATGCTGCGTGAGTCAATAAATTTGAACATGATCCTCCTAAGCAGGTAAATAGGAGTCGACAAGGTTCAACAAATGATTATAAAATACCCCCCAAACACCCGCATAGGCCCAGACGAACGTGTTATGGGTACACACGTGATGTCTAGGGATGTTGTGCGGGCTAATAAATGAATTTAAATTCAAACATGATCCTTCTATGCGGATCAATAGTAGTCGACGAGATTCGAACCATCAAATAAATATACGGTTGCGGCGACCGGTACATTTGTCTTCACACATTCATATTAGGTCTTCAAGGCATATATCAAAGAAAATTCACAAACAAAGGTATAAAGCCTACGAAACCTGGTTTTCTGTCGACAGTTCAACAGAGTTAGATAAGGATCAATATACAAAATTCAAATATTTTCAAGTGACCTCAAAGTCACCCTGATGATAGCCGTGTTGAATGTTTATCTCAATTGGAGGGATTCACAAATATTTCAAAATGCCCTCAAACTTTTACAAAATTCAAATATAATCTCAACCGGAGGAGTCCATTCCAAATATTTCAAAATGTCATCTCAAATATCTGAAAATCCTGAAAAAATCCCAAAATCCAGATATTTAAAATTGAAATAAAACTATCAAACACTTAAAGCACAAAATTCATCCACCCTTCGTAATAATTTGTCAGGGTGGACAAATTAAATTTAATACTTTAGCTCACATGGAGCTAATGCCTAGTCGAAAATATCACTATGATCCATTCTCAAATAATCTCCTACCAATAAGGACGTGGTATGTGTCCTCTAACATACGGTTTTTTGCCGCCAAATGACACCGCAGGATAAACGGTTATGACCCGAGGCCCTCTGAACCGAGTGATTTTGTCGCCAAATGGCACCACTAAATGTCGGTTATGGCTAGAGCCAATGCATTCCTTAATGGCATCAAATCCTTGAGATATGAATCAATAGGATATGATCGATAGGGCACAAAGCCCTCTATTAGCTAAGGTGGATTCAAATTTGTCCCCTTAGACAAACATCCACCCCAAGTCTACAATGTCTCCTTGGATGAAGCAACCCATGGCTGTCGACAAGGATCCTTATATCAGGTTGGGTCGACTACCACCTCTAACTAAGTAGACCAGGGACCACAATAGCCCGAGACGACGGAACCATGGGATCTTGATCGGATTCATCATCCATTCCCCCACCATCTGCTTTAAGTGCAAAATGGTGAAACTTCTATTTTAAATATCAAACATCCAAACTCTCCAATACCTAAGCCCATGCTGCTACTATATGTCGGATACTACATATCTATGGATACAATGTATTCATCGATGACTAGCCTTAATCGAAAGTTCTCTCTAGTTATCGGGAGGGGTAATTAACTATAGGGGCTTGCGCCTATAGGAAACCATAACTTAGATCATAAAGTCCTCACAAAATGAGGACGAAATCTCTGGATAGTGTCTAATCTACAAACTCATATTCCTTCCCAAAATTTACCCTGGAACATAATTCTGTTAAAACTCCCCCCAAAAAGGAAAGCACCAGCAGGCCGAGGTCGGGGCCAAATTTTCGGAGCCCACAGAGTGTAGCTAAGTGAGATAGAGTTGGTAGATTGGAGCTCGAGAAACGATCGGCTTGCAAGCTGCGGGTGGGGGGTTGTGATCGATCAAGACAAAAGTTAGAGAGCGGCTAGACGTTGGAACAGAGGAAGGATCATTTCGTAGAATTCACAGGAGCAGGCGGTGTCATAGGTTTCAATGAAATTTTGGGGATCTCGACAGAACTTAACACAAGCAAATACAAGGTAATTACTCGTGATTTGAGCCATTTCATCATTTTTTTAATAATTATAATAATAATAATATTATTATTACAAAAATAATAATATTATTATCAGAGCAGTAATATTGAATTAGAAATTTGCATGTCTCCAAACCCGCACATCAGTCTTTCAATTTGCATGCATTTTTTCTTGAAATCCATGCATTTTGCCTCCGAATGTGTGCCAATTTTACCATATGATTTTAATTGGGTGAAATTACAATCTATTGTAGTATTGTCAGTGTTTCTCGATTTGTGTGTCATTGCCTTGGGATCCATGTTGATTTCCTCACACGATCTTATTTAAACAAATTAATAATCATTTTTGGGTGTTGACGACATTCTGAATGCAACGGTAAAGTCCGTTTTGCGAACGGATGCCATTTGGGCAACATTGTGCTTAAATTTGGGTGTCAGTTGTCCCTTTTGACCGAGCTTGTCTGATTTAACTATGAGGGGTTCCCTCTTAGGCGAATTCAACCCTCTGATTGCAATGACGCAATCCATTTGACAATTGGAGGTCATTTGACTCTTCAAGTGATGAGTCACGCTGACACGCTCTTTGCTTAAATTATCATTTTCATCACTTTTCGTGTGTTTGGATGTGTGGGGGCCAACAAGAAGGATTTTGATTGGATAGCTACAATATCCTTATGAAGAACAAGCATGATAAATCCGTATCAATATTGACGTTTGATATCTCAATAAAGTATATTTGAAGGATGACTTTTTATTCCTAATATCAAAATTGTTAGTTGACAATATTGTCAACTATGACATGTTCTCTTTTATAGATAAACACTAAATCCATCAAAATTTTAAGATTATCAAATCCATTAAAATTTTAATATTTAATGATATTAATAATCAATAAGTTAAAGTAAAATTCATTCACCCTCTGCAACCATTTAACAAAGGCAATGAATTCAAGATTAACTCCAACTCACAAAGAGCAAACATCCAATCGAGAATACCATTAACATTTATTCTCAAACAATCTACTATCGGTATGGACATGGCATTATTCTCTAACAGATGATTTGGCACAATGGCTTCACAAGGTAAATGGTTAAGATGGCATCCTTTAATCGATGGTTTATCCAAATAGCTCCACATTATAAACAAAAGCCCTCGGATCGTGTGGTTTGGCTTAACGACTCTACTATATTACAATTATAGCTAGAGCTCATATGTTTTCCAATGGCTATCACCTTTGAGTAATAAATCATAAAGCACAAACCCTCTGTTAGCTAAAGTTGAATTGAATTTGTACCTTAGACAAACATTCACCCAAATCTACAAGATATCTTTATAAGAAGCAACAGATAGTTGCCGACATGAATCCTTCAATCGAGTTGGTTCGATTACTTCATTTGATTAAGTAGACTAGAGAACATGATAACCCAAGATGACGGAATCATAGCATCTTGAATAGGTTCTTCATCACATCTACTTTAAGTGCGCAATAATAAATTTCTAATCTTTAAATATTTAAGTGTTGTTTGTATATGCCGGGTATTATGTGTCTATTTATCGACTAACCTTAATTGAAAGTGCTCTGTCGTCATCGAAAGGGGTAATTAACCATAAGCGCTTACCGTCTATGAAAAATCTAAACTCGAATATTAAAGTCCTTGTATATGAGAGTAAAATCCTTGGGTAGTGTCTTATCTTATATCTAATCTACCATTTGAAATTTTTTATTGAAATTTAATACTTTAAAACTCCCCCGAATCAACGCAGAAAGGCCGGGGCACCCAAAAGCAAAATTTTCGAAGCTTGCACTACTTAATTGTGGGGCTTTTGTTTTACTCACCTCCAATCAAATATGACTTTATGCTAGGGGAATTGTTATGGCAATCTCATTTTTAATAGGTAAATATTGCAAAAAATAAATTACTAACTTAAACAATGGACAACCACCTACCCTGAATCTACCCCAACCACTAAATATTTAGAGCACAAAATTTTAACCCATAAAACAAAGAAAATGGTTTACATGCCTTCCCAATTGAGACAACTCCGGCTCCTTCAAAAGTAAGTTCTGTAGCGATTCTGCTCCACTCTCCTTGCTGTCATCAAAACAGGTTTGAAGGTTTTTGAAACTAAGTCTTGTCATCATAACAAATACAATAGAATGCTGAGAGATCTAACATACCTGTGATCAATGGAAATAAGTTTATGGTGAATAGTTAGGTCAGCACCAATATAGGTAACAACCAGGCTGCCGGCATCTGGGTGAGGCCAGCTGCGAGAAGTTGGAAACCTAAGAACAAAGGTTCCTGGCTTCTGAATTCCTCTTGGACACTTCAGTGACTTCTCAGCCTCTTCCACTGTGATGAATCCTTCTATCCATTTTGGCGATGTGCACTCCCACATTCCATTTATTTGGACATCTGACAAGGCAACAGCCACTGGGTATAACCACTGCCACATCGCATTGAAATTTTCCAGACCCAGCTCCTCACCACACCCAGCAATTCCTCTCAAAACCTCCAGATCCTGGATTTTTGGAATTAAAAGATTAAAGGTGGTAACTTAGTAATCATAGAATGCAGTATTTTAGAATGAAAGATACCTTTTCAGATAAACCATGAGTGGTAGACCGTGAAATGCTCATGAATCTTTTGTTTAGCTCAACAGTTGCTGTGATCCAAAGGGCACGATTTCCATTCTGACAGATCGAATTCCAAGTATCATTTCCCTCTTGAACCAGTTTTTTTGATATCAATATAGGGTACCTAGGATTAAAGCCATACAAATGGTAGGTACTCAACATCCTAAATGTAAATGTTAAGGCATCTGGCCCGAAGAGGTTTACCTATGATGTAAACATCCTGAATACAGGCAAACCTGGTCAGCAAAAGTCACCAACTCTTCATTGCTTGAAGATTTTATGATCTCCTTAAGTAATAAGGAACGTTCATATGTACCTTCCAAGCAATATCTAAATATAACCATATCGGACATAGGATCTATGGATTCTCCTATGCATTTGACTTCAGAATTTCTAGCATCAATACTTTCCGAGTCAGAAGGACAGTTGTCGGATCCATCCAAATTATTTGACCTTGCTTCAGAATTCATCTTGAATGCCTTCTCTTCCTTGTTGTACAATGATAACTCAGCCACTAAACAAAAGAGACAAATATATCCAAAAGAAAGTAGCAGGTACCTGTGCTATGTTCGCATTTGCATCGACTTGCTTCGATGATTTATCTGGGCTTATTTTGGGACGCTTAGATGATAGACCATTAGCCTGCTTCCTATGACTTACTATTTCGGCATGACCAATTCCAATTTTCTCATGTGTTTCTTGAAACCTATCATTGATTCCTGGAAGTTGAGTTCTGTCACAAATGGGAGATGCTGATGCCTGCCTTTTTCCAATCACAACAGGTCGAATACAACGACTTCTTGATATGCAACGAATTGGAGGGGATCGCGTTTCAAAAAATGGATAACATTTAGTTTGTGATGCACGGAAACATATGCTGAATAGCCTATTATCAGACTTGGAGGAAAGCTGGAAGAAACAGGAAGATCTCATCAATATGGAGAAAATTAAGCCTTCAACTAGCTGAAGGGGACGTAATTAAGGTAGATAGCATTTATAAAACATTAATTAGGATGATGAATCTTAACATGCCCAATAAAATTCTAAGAAACTAACCAGCGGCGAAGTCGACTACATTGTATAATGGATTATCTTAATATGTTACACACATAGAAACACTACAAACAGATCTCCAACTACTTCAAATAAAATTTTGAAATATAAGTCAAGCGAAAAACCTGTGATAATTTAAGCTTAAAAGTTGCATGACCAAGATAAACTGCAATTGGTCTTTCTGTCGAAGGGTATTCAAGCCCCTCAAAGCCTACCAAAAGTGGAGCAAAAGAATTATCTTGAGTTTTCTCAACAGGGGCTCCATTATCGGCATAGACAAGTGAAGCGGTTATCTGAAGATAAGCAATATCAGTCAGTGTATATATATATATAATGGATAGCAACTAATGAAGAAGATCGATAGAAGAGACCTCCATGTCCTTATGTACAAACTGACCAACGGCATCTGATAGAACAACATCAAGAGAAAAATTCCTACGACAAGAAGCCTGGGAAAAATAATTTCATAGTAAGCTAATCTGCACATATCAACTGTTTTTTGCAGAGGTAACAAATCCCTATTCTAGAACTAATCATGATTTCCTATGAAAAATAAGTATTTTAGATAACATTAATATAACCAAGCCGTGTAATTTATAGAAAAAAGTCTATTTAAAGTATGCGACTCATAGTTCCACTGTCTTTTGATGCAAAAATAGCCATACGAAAACTACGAAATGATCATTATGTTGGTTCCAGTTGTTCCACTATTCTTTAGGGTGATTGTGCTTTGGCCTCTACGAAAGATAATGGTACATATCATAAAAAGAATGTAACAAAAAAAGTGATGCAATAATTGTGCTAATTAGGCCATATTTGGTTTGACATTTGAGATGCGTGCAAAGCAAGTACAACTTGTCCATTGAAACAGAACATATGTACATTTAAAAAAAAGATTCAAATCAATAGCAATACATGGTAAAATATGGAAAACGGAGTAGGAAGGTCCTGATTTTAAAGATTAAAGATTGCGAATGATGTTGTATTTAATCGTCAAATTAATTACAATACATCAAACACCACTATATTATTGGACGATGTTTTTTTTTAAATGATTTTCTTATGTAGAAAACACACAGTAGATTAGCTTGGAGATTTATAAATAATAAGCAATCTTTGTCACACATGGTTATGGCCACAAAATATGGTGAAAAACTGGATAAAGGCAACTGTAGTGGCTGTTTGTCATCAGCCTTTAAATTGTTGAGAGAAGGATTAAAAATGCTCAAGCCAATTGTAAAATGGAGGATAGCTAATGGAGATTCGGTAGATGCTTTGAAGATACATGGATAATGGATAAATGCATAAACAAATGGCCTACATTTGTTGTCCCTTATGAAGGTAGCACTGTTCGGGTAAAGGATTTCATTCAGGAAGCTCATTGGAATGACCAAGAATTAAGTAAGCACTTCGGCAGAGACCTTATCAATTTGATCAATCAAATTGAAATAAATCAAGAGAGCAATGAAGACTTTATGGAATTGATAAATCAAAATTCTGGTATGACAATACCGGGATTAATCAATAAAGCTGTAGCTTTTGAGATGAGGATGATTTGAATTGGAAATGGATCAAAAAAGCAAAACTGAATGCTCGGGTGGAGACATTCTGGTGGAGATTGAATAAAAATGCCATACCCTCACTCCAATTTCTATGTTATAGAAGATTAACCCAGAATTCTATTTGTCCAAGAGGATGTGAAGCAATAGAAGATGTAGAGCACATAATTTGCAACTGCAGCAAATTGAGGGAGATAATCCAGATTTTAAACAATTGGGGATTCTATATTCCTACGTATGAGATAAAGGAGCATTGTATTAATTGGATTGAATCCAATACAACAACAACAACAACATCAAGCCTTTATCCCACTACGTGGGGTCGGCTACATGAATCTTTTTTCTCCATTGTGTCCTATTAAAAGCCAAATTCTCGTTTAAATCTAATAAAGAAAGGTCTAAATCGCTAAAAGCTAATTAATGTCTTAGAAGATGATGATAAACTTGTATTGCAACACAGTGTTTCTAGCTTGGAAAAGTAGAAACAAGTTGATTCATGATGGTGTTGAAGACAATTCAAGTTATTTAGCTTCTAATTCTATTTGCCAAACTGTGGTTTCTCTTAACTTTGGCCATTATAATTTAGGCTTTTGGGATGTTAATTAGTCGTCAAGACTGTCAAAAGCTTGGCATCCTCCTCCACCCAATTGGCTAAAGGTTAATGTAGATGCTTCACTTCTTTCTTCCTACAAAGCTGGAGTTGCTGCGGTATTCCGAGACAGCAATGGAAGATTCTTGTTTGCTTATGGAAAATCACTACTACATTGGGATATAGCTCAATTGGAGATGCTTGCTATTCATTCTCAAGGAGGAAATAAAGGATTGGATGTTCAAATACAAGGACATTATCATAGAATGAGACAATTCAAATATCATCTCCTACTTCAAAAATGCTTGGAAAACAGGGAGGTTCAAGGATGATGGTATGGAATTTCTTTCAAACTTTAATTTTGTTTTTTTTTTTAATTGTATTAATAGAGATTGCAATAAGTTAGCAAATCTTTGTGCTAACTATGCTCTATTTAGTAGCTTTGATTGGGTGGACTGTTCTGAGAATAAGGTTCCTCTTTTTAAAATTTTGAAGGAGGAATCTAGCTTGTAGTTGCTTCCTTTTTTATCTTTAATTCATAAGCTTCGACTTTTTCTTCAAAAAAAAAAAGAAAACACACAGCAGTGTATAGAAGGCCTTAATAGCATTTTGCTAGCAAATTTATTATACCCAAATGATTATTCATATAGCTACATGGTCATGAAATTTTCTTTATTAAAAAAGCAAAGGAGTTATGAGAGCCTACACAGGTCCTCAAAAGACAGTCCAAGGATTAGGTATGACAATCAAAACATGGGAATAACAAAAGGAACAAAAATGGGTCATGATATTTAAACTGAATTTTTTATAAGCATAAGTTTCAAAATCGTTGATTTACTTTGAGATGACTATAATATAAATTTAGTTGATACTTATATATAATACTTATACAACTACAACAACAATAAGCCATTATCCCACTACATGGGATCGGCTACATTAATCTTTTTTTTTTTTTCCATTGTGTCCTATTGAGAATCAAATACTCAAATCATATATGATAATTATCTCAAAATATAATTAACAATTTTGATATCCATCCTTGGTTAGATATCCCAACTCAATTTTTTTCCACAACAAAAATAGGATAACAATACAGTCCAAAACCAAATTGTCTGCAACAAATGCTAAAAAGAAAACTAAAAAAAGATAAATCAGAAGTCAAGAAAATAGAATATCTCCCAAATTGGTATTTTCTTCTTCAACACATTTGTACATCTTTTTTTAATAACCATATACATGAGACCATGCTTCTATAACAATCCAATAAAACAACTCTTTGAAGGCTCTTTAGATAGTCCCCAAAGCTACAATTTTTAATAAAGTTTAAGATGCATTAAACGAAAAAAGTGTATAAAGATCATCCTTAGCATATATACAACTGCAATAATCCTGACGGTGAAACAAAATCACATAAGCTGATATTAACGGGGGAAAAAAGTTCATAGTGCAGAAGTTTGGATTCCCTTTGGAATTCAGAAATTCGAAGGATAAAATACATGTTTATATGCCTTATTCAGTAGAGATCACCATTTTTAAGATGGGAGAATGGGTATAATGTTCTAGCGTGCAGCCAAATAAACATATGTATATCTCTCCAAATATAAATAACTTATGTGTTAAAAGCTTCATCATGTTAACACAGCCCCTCAAGTTGGAGGACGTATGGTATTTTAGCCCTGATGATCAAGAGATCAACTGACTTATCAAGAAGACTCACAAAGGACATGTCAAGAGAATTGGAAAGTTTCAAAAAGGGATACCAAGAAGACTGCTATACTATTGAGAGTAAAATGTCAAAAATGAGAAGAATTGATAAGACTGAGATAAACTCAAAATAGGTCTTGGAATAACTCACACGAGACGTCTAACTCCATGACCAAGAAGATTGTTGTTGTGTAGTTATAATGGTAGCTTGACTCCACTCATCTATGAAAAGTCTGTGATGTATCCTCGTAACATCCATAAGTGTAATTGTGATTTCTTGTAAAAAATTCGACATTATTTCCTTGTAACTTCCGCAATGCTTTTTTCATTAGGTTTTTCACTCCCTTCTCTTTGTAATCAACATTTCATGTCTATATAAAAAGGTGTTGTAGAAAGAAAATGAGTTAAAACCTAGAGAGTGGGAGAAATCATTTTCGAAGAATGACTCAAAAGAATAGTAACAACTAAAAAGAGAGAGGAAATAAAGGAATTTCTTTTTCCTTCATATTTACATATATTCTTCCTTTAATGAACGTCCCTCGCTCCAAAAAATAATAATCTAGATTAATCCTTCATCCTGTCTCCTCAAAGTGATGGTTTGAACTTTTCTGGTGTCTTGAGGGCTCTTCGAATCAAATTTGATGTTAGAACACTTTAGGTTAAAAAGAACCTTGTTGTATCTTGTTGCCAAAAGGGGATACAAGCAGAGTGGATGACCACTCTTTCTCCTAGATTTTTCAAGAAGAATATAAGGGAAATCAATGAGTAAAAATATCACAAAGAGAACTCTGACAACTTAACTACCCAAGTGCATTCCAACAATAGAAAAATATGATAATAAAGACAATTAGGTAGGAAAATCCCAATACCGAATTAAAAATAAATCTCAAGAAAAATATGTCCCAAGAACAATTAAGAGTTTGTGGAGCTGAGGTGACTCCCAAGGCAATTTCGCGAAATGCATCCGGCTCTAGTCAGGAGAACTTAAATTTTCAAGTTGCAATGCCTATTACATGTAGGGCTAAACTTGACTCTAGGAACTGAACAATTTTGAAGTACTGCACTTTTCAACAAATTTTAAAATTACATGAGGGACAAGAAATAGGTTTTTGAAATGCAAACCACTCATTAGACATCGAATTTTCTTCTATGTTCCTCGGCCTCCCCTCATTGCCACCATGAAGCACTCTTTCGTTCTAATCATTCTTAACAACTTCTATTCATAGGTCTACTCTTTTTCCTTTATAGAAGCTATAAATGTGTGATTGATAGTTTAAAATAATTTTGCTCATCTATATTTCAAACTATTGAGATATATATAGAAATTTATAAAATGTCAAATAGGAATTATAATGATATAAATGATATTTATTTGAGGTGAAATGAAGAAAATTTAATCTCTCATTTTTCTTAGATAGCTGGGATATTTTCAAGACAACCCCCAAACACGTGCATTACCTTATCAATTTCAGCACAATTTCTAGCTGCAGAAGGTCTGGACTTTCTCTCAACAAAAAAGCTATTATATTTTCATTACTTCACGGCTTAGTCCATTATGCTTGGTTATATGCCTTGTCGTGCCATATATTCACTCTCAGTTTCCCCTCTTAAACAAACAGTTGAAAAGGAATATTTGTTTCAGCCTGATCTAAATTTCCTTTCACTTCTCCTTACATTAGCATTGATTATAACTGGAAATTTCTAGCTTGGAAAATATATAAGAAGGATTCTTTTGCTAAAAAATAAAAAATGAAAGCATGATACTGCCATTTAAATTGTATCAATTTGAGTTTCTCCTTTTGAAGGCTCAAGGTAAACACAAAGATATGTGTTATAATAAATGAATACAAAACTAAACAGAAATATGCCTTACAAATCATAATCCTTTCCCCAATTTCAATGTCAGAACTCAATGAATAAGCTATAAATATATATTCAAGGGTTTGACGCCATTAGGGAACATATGGGCTTTGGCTATGATCGTAATATAATGGTGCCATTTTACAGCAGAACCACCTGATCAGAGGGCATGTGTCATGTCCCTATTGAAAAGAGACTATCTGAGGAAGAATCTTAGCAATACACCCGACACGACATCCGCTCTTTTGTGAGCTGAGGTTAATTTCAAATATATCACTACTACAAATGGTTGCGGGTGTTGGATAAATTTTAGTTTTAATTTTTTTTTTGGGTGATAGAACTTATTTTAAGAATGCTTGACTTTTATTGGTTTTGAGGTTTGACCCCTTCGATTGAGATTTCACGTCAACACGGCCATCATCGGGGCGATATTGAAAATCACTTTATTTTTGTAGAAATTTGGGAGGCATTTTATGATTTAAGTCAATTCGAATCTGGTCCTTTCATGGAGGATGATGAAACTTGAATATTAAACCAGTGCAATATTCTCGGACCATTGGATTTAGGAATCATATGTGACGATCGGAGCACATACGGCTTATATTTAGTTTGAAAATACAATGTTATATTAGTAAGCATTTGACCTTGCGTAGCATTCTCAGACATTTTGAGTTTGCAACTTTAACACGTTTGTTGGAGCACATGCATATTTTATTTTTAAATGTATTTTCAGTATTATCATAAGGATATAGCCTTCTGTCCGCTTGTATAAATGTTATGGATCCAGTGGCATATCTTAACTTGATTGGGATCTTCAATACTTCACAGTTATTATAATACTATCTACTAATCGACATGTATACACAGATTTAAAACCACTTTCTTCAATATTGTTAGAAGAACTAAGGTTACTAGTAGTAGCTTGAATTTACCTTAGAGAAAAAGAGAGTTTCTAGACTCCTTAGATTTATCTAAAAATAGGAGAAACCCCACATTAAGTGAGCTTTTAATGTAGACCTTGAACAACAAATAACTTTGACATACACCTCAATCATTTATTCCATTTCCACACTTACTTTCAAGATAGTTTCTTCTTCATCTTTTTTATAAGGCCTACAAGCTGGCAGAGTATAAAGATAACTGGTTGTGGCATCAATGTTAAGAGAAATAGAACCCACAGAATAGGGAAATTTATCTTCTTGACTTTCATCATCACTTGAATTATGGAATATCTTCTCGTATGTCATAAAATACTTCTCCAATATTATCAATATCAATCAGATGGTCCCTTATTGAGGAAGTCATCAACCTAAGGGACTGCATATTCTCGATTTTATTGTCACGACCCAACCCGACCGGGACGGATCCCGCTCGCATCGGGCCGCGACGGAACTATTGAAAAGCCAGGATCTAGCTTTGGAATTTGCTTCAGAACTTTCTTCCAAATATTAAATAGACAGAAAAACACAGAGCTACTATAATCATCCAAATACAGAACACTTCATCTTTTTTTTTTCTTTCATCAAAACAATCATCTACAGATACAGTACATGGCTTATAGACAGAAAAAACAGAACAGAAAAGCCATGACTGTACAAAAATCAAAAGTACAAAATACCTAATCACTGATCAGACTCTGAACTGCTAATCCAAAACTTTCTTCCCTTTCCCAGAACCTGAAAACCACGCAGAAAACAAGGATGAGCTAACAGCTCAGCAAGACATCACTCACCAATCCAAATCATCAGAAATTCACATCAGAAAATACTTCAGAAATTAGCCGTACGGAAATCGTAGAACAGATACTTGATCAACAGAAATCAAACAACTGATACAGAAAACTGAAGTCATTTCGAATCGGAGTTCAGAACAGATATCATAAAACATCCAAGTCACAGAGCAGACTGAATCGTACGGAATAACCAGAATCGTACAGAAATCAGAAATCAGATAAAGATAATTCATAAAATAGATCAGATAAATCACAGAACAGATTATCATCAGATTCCCAGACACTGACAGAATCTCAACGGATTCTGCCCCTTATGCCTCCCTTCCCAAACACTGACAGAATCTCAACGGATTCTGGCCCCTCATGCCTCCCTTCCCAGACACTGACAGAATCTCAACGGATTCTGATACCTTATGCCTCCCTTTGTGCTTATAGCACCAGAACAGAACAGAACAGATATTCGGAATTCCGGAACATAACTTATTTTCAGATTTCAGAGCTCATTTAAGATTTCCCTGATACAGACAAAATCTCAAAGGATCCTGGCCCCTTATAACTCCCTTCTGATAGCATACAAACACTTCAATTCATTTAATGCATAAATTTAGAAAAATCAGAATTCATACGAAAAATCAGCGGCATAACGGCAGTATACGGAATTTACACAAAAATCACAAATTCAGAAATTTACCATATTACCACAGAATATCCACAACAACATTATAAGACTTTCATTGTACTGAAGTAACATTTTTCATCATCCCGATAATTTGCAATTCAATTAAAACGCCGCAGAATCCAAAATATCCGATAAAAATCTTCCAGAAAATACTCAAAACGTGCACAATTATCATCTCAGAAACATACCAAAAGTTACGCGGTAAAACTTTTGTCAGAAGAAAATAATACAAGAAATTCGCTAACAGAAATAAAATTCGGTAAAAAATCTCATTTCTGAAAATTGAGAAAGGCGGAATGTGCCTTACCTCGAGTCAGTCAACTTCTCCAACTACGGCGACGAACGAAAACGGACGAAAGTCACCCAAAAATCGACTTTTCTTCTTTTTCCCTTCGATTTTCTCTCTCCTAGACTTTCTCTCTCTTCAAAACAACTTAAATCGGATATTTATTAAGCAGGATCGTCCCGGACGATGTTCCTGATCGTCCCGGGACGATCTCCTCTGGACCAGATCGTGGACCAGATCGTCCAGACGAAATTAAATGCCAATTTCGTCGTCCCGGGACGAAACTCTCGGGTTCAGTTCGTCCTGATGGTTCGTCCCGATTGTTCCAAGTTCGTACAGACGAACATGCAGATTTCTTCACAATCTGTATAGATCGTCCCGGGACGATCCACTTCGTCCCGGACGATCCTGGGAGGAAAACAGCCTTTACATTTATTAAAGATTATAATTGTTTCCTATTCATAGATTTGGAGTTGCCATTGAATGAATGTAACTTGGCACTAATTTATCTTCAGCTTGTCTTTGTTTGATTTTTGCAAGTTGTTTCACTTTTTCTTAAATATCAACTTTAAAGTTCAACAGTTCAAATATTAACATGCCTCCTCTCTTCTTACTTCATTTCTGTTTAATCTCCACATTAATATGAACAAATCATTTAACAATGAAGATGCTTCCAAAAGTATTGCTCCCGTTTACTAGGAATCTTGAACCAACAATTTCTTCATTAAACTAAAAACTTGATCACCAATAGAATTAGCTAGCTCTAGGGTTTACAATGAATTGTCATTTCCAAAAACATGCTCAAATTCATCAAATTCTTTTAGGCAATGAGATTTACCAAACACTTAATCATAAAGTTCTCTTTAATGCTGAACTAGATCCCGATGTCGTAAGTCATCGCATAAGGCTTGGTTTATTTGAGGATTATGATATTTTAAATTAATTTTGCACATTAATTTCAAATTCCTCCTAAGCTTTAGAATTAATCTCCCATATGTGTGTGTGTATGTTTATTAAATAAAGTTGGGGTCTTTTGTCGTTTTCAATTTAGGCAACCTCCAAACATCCCCTCCTTGCAAGGAGAGGTTGGGGAGAGCACTTGCCCTTTTGGTTTGACTCGACCGAATCAAATCAACGTCGAGGAGTTTGGGGGAGCGAATCAACCCCGATATAAGACTTTGAGTCTTCTAATGCACGGGACCTATTCATTAGGTAATTTAATTTTAAATTAAAAAAAAAAAAATATTCCCCTTGCAAATCTGACAGCCTTCTGGCTCCCCCTTCGCATAAGGGGAGATTGGGTAGGGCACTTGCCCTTTTTGGCTCGACTCAACCAAATCAAATTAATGGCGAGGAGTTTGGGGGAGCGAATCGACTCGTTAATGTCTTCAAGTTTTCTAATTGTGCGCAACCTGTTGTTTAGGTAACTTAATTTAATTTTAAAAGATAGTTTTCATCCCCTAAAAATTCGGCAGCATTCTAACGCTCCCTCCCTACGAGAGGAGGTTGGGAGGGCTGATGTAATATGATGTAAATCCAGGATTTGTATTTAGAAGTTTAACAAAGATTATCCAAGTATGATAATTGCAAGTTAAATCTTGTTCCCAATTCAAGCTTTTTGGAAATCTCAATTGTTAACTACGACTAGGCAAGCACTTACACCTAAATTAGCAAGGCCGAGAAAAATAACAACTTTCATAAACGTAAAGCAAATGAAACGAATGGCTCGACTCGACCGGATCAAATCAACAGCGAGAAGTTTGGAGAGCAAATAGACCCCGAAAATAGTCTTCGATCTACTCGGTTGGATCAGATCGACGACTGAGGGCATCGGGGGACTGAATCAACCGCGGGACTTCCTTCAAATTTCTCATGCTGCTTGTTTGAAAATCCCCCATCTCTCTTTTTTTATTTCAATTTTATTTTATTTTTTTATATGTAATATATATATATATATATATATATATATTATAAAGAGAGCGAGGGAGTCAGAGAGAGGGATGGGGACGGACGTCGGGCTAAAGGTTGCGGCAATCTTGGGCATGCCGGCTTCGGGTTCACAGGTTGTCGGAAGTAAGGCTGGCGAGTCGACGGCGAAGGAAAGGAGGCCGGAGGTCCAGCTCGGGCACGGAGAAGGAAGCACGGCAGGCAGAGGCAGTAGTTGGCAGGGTCGGCTAGGTCCCAGTCCTGGATTGAAGGAAGGAGTCGGAATCGGTCAAGTTGTTTATGGCCGGTGTCACGCATGGAAGAGGGAGGCCGGTTGGAGATGCCAGAGTCGATCGATGTCGAGCGGCTATGTGCGAACGGGAGAGAGATGAGCGAATCAGAAAGAGCTTTGGTTTCGTCTCTATTTGTAAGTTTTTTTTTTTTTTTTTTTTTTTTTTTTTTTTTTTTTTTTTTTTTAAATCTTAGTGTTTGAATGCTTGCCTCTGTTTATGACATGGGCGAGGAGGAGTTGTGTCATGAGTAGCGATTGTGGGATCATGGGGAGCGGGAGCCAGTCGGAGGTGAGTGTGCGGCATTAGAGGTCAACATAATATTAATAGCATGACATGATTTTAATGTATCATAGATACTTCACACAACCTTCGACTGGCAGTTTCCAGTAGACAATGCCAATATCAATCTACAGCTTTATTGCGAGTTAAAGCCATCATACCTTTCCACCAACAATGCTCCAAACACCATCATTGCCAACTTCGAGTGCATCAGAAGTGCATGAACCATTAAGAGATAACTTTACCGGTGGATTCTGAAATAAATAGAAACCATGCATCAGCAATCAAGTAACATAAATAGTAAAATAAACAAAACCACGCCAAATTCAGTTCACGGCCACAAATAGAATTGCTATACATGTATCAAGGATTCACCTTAGCAAAATCATCTTTAATGGATGCTGACAAAGATAACATGGAAGCATTATAAACATAACCCTGAAGCTTTCCATCATTTCCACTGCTACCAGCCAAAGCAACTTTCTTGAAGTTATCAAGATTATGATCATCAGATGAAGAAGAGAGAGGCATATTGTCAGAAAGCTCCCCATTTAGGTAAAGGCAAATGTAGTCTGCTGTTGCCTGATGATAGAAGATCAGAAGGAAACACTTAATAAGTTGTTATAAGAAACGAGAAGAAGGCTACATGTAGCCTCTTGTTCCCTATATGTGCTTAGAATCATAAGCAGGCAAAGAGCAACAATAAGATTGCCCATTGTGAGCAAGAAGTTCCAGGTTTTGATTAAAAAAGCAGCATGTGTAAACACCTATCTAGATCATTCAGTTACAGAAGCCACGTGTGTTGTGCAATTTTTATTTGAATGTCAAGAAGATAATTGTTATGTCCTTTATAGTAAAACTTTAAGATAGTGAAACTAAAGCATTGTAGATTACCAATGAATCATGAGAAAGGGAGTGCGGAGATATTTCGCACAAGATATTCATAAGCATGGGTTTCAACTAAAAAGAAGTAAAATCATTTCTTCATGAATTTTAGACTTGAAATACAAGGATGAATACACAACTTGAGTAAATCATAAATGGTTAAGTTTTAATCCTTGGATTCAAAAGAACATGAATCAACAATAAGCAAAGGGTATAGATAAAGACTGAAAAAGCGAAAGAAGAAGAGAGATCAAGAAGGCATAAGACAGAGAAAAGAGAGAGAGAGAGGTAGAGGTAGAGAGCGAGGGAGGGAGAGAGAGTTTCAGAAATAATGATGATCCTTGGCTGAGGCTAGGGGAATGTGCTACTCACATGAAAGCTAATGCTTAAATGTTAAATCATGAAGTTTCAACTATACAAGCATTGGATTTAATGCTGCAAAAGTCCATCTCTTAATATCTTTATTTTTCATCGATATACGTTCCATAAATTTAAAGAGAATAACAACATACATCTAAATATGCACCAAAAGTTCATGATTTTACCACCCACACATACAGATATGACTGAAGGGATTCTCACTTAACTAGCAAGTATTATAAAATTCTTGAAAATGCCTCCAAATTAGGTCTTCATGCATGGAAAATCAAGAGTGAAAAGGATCATAAACGTGAATCCAACTAACAACAACTGATCAAATTCAATGGTACGATTCATATTCATTACTATAACACCTTTTCCTTAATTAGTAAAGGCTTTATATCAATGCTATTAGGTCATTCATAATTCAACAGGAAGTTACGCATACTTGTACTGAAGGGATTCTCACTAGTCAAAATAACTAGCAAAAGGGTAAATAAAAAGGTGGTGATCTGACCAGAGGTTCCTTTCAGAAAAAGGTATAGCATTAACTTGGACATATCAAGGCTAAATCACAAAATTCTAGTGACAAAGTAGTGCTGAATTAGATGAGAATTTATGAAATATGAGGCAGAAGTAAGACCAGGACACTTGTGAGAGTCATAACATATACCACACAGAACATTAAAGAGATTTAATCCCTTATCATATCGATATGCACACAGATAACTCCATCAGTAACACAGGAAAAAATTTAAGATGTGAATTTAAGAACTCATACATTAACAGGGCACTAGCACAATGGAGAAAAAGGATTCATGTAGCCCCACATAGTGGGATAAATGTTTGATGTTGTTGTTATTTATTGTATACATTCATAATCTAGCAGTTCAATAATTTAAAGAAAAATACATACTGCAAATATCATGTTTATACCATAAGATTCTATTTATACAAGCAAGATCATTGACCTCTCAGCACACGTCCCATTATCCTAATATTTGGGACAATGAGAAGCCATCATATCTTTACCACTTCAAGGTGGTCCACATTTATGAAGAACAAAAAGCAACTACCATAAAGGTCTTTCCACTTGAAGGAATCTCTTATCTAAATCGTGACTCACATAGGAACATACCTTACATCCAACATGAACCCATCTCTCCAGTGGGCATTCACTCTCAGAAGTTATATGATGGATATCAGACCATGGAAAGGTGCTACCCGCAAATGATGCTTCACTGTGCAAGAACATCAATGGAAAGAGGATCAACTTGTTTTGCTCGTTTAGTGCAAGGAAAGGAACTTCGCCCTCAATTTCTGATGAGACCTGCATGAATCATGAAAAATAAGCTTGCATGCTCATTATGCTAAAAAATCTGAAAGACAATAAAGTAATATGCATTGCCTTCACCAAACAAGAAACCTAAGCAAGAAAATATAGGTTATCATGTTGGTATTTTTTAATCAAAAACTCACTTCAATACTTGATGCATTTAATAATTTAGATCATGAAAATGGTGAGGGCAAAACAAAAATCTTATTTATTTATTTATTTATTTTGAAGAAACTGATGGAGAGTTTCCATCCGTGTAGCTCAAAGCACAAAGCACAAGCTGATTGTTGCAAACATTTCTAGCTACAAAGGGAGAAAGGACATCTACTTGAGACAAATTTTATATGCATAACATTTACAACTTCCAACGATTAGAACACATATATGCGTGAAAACAGTTCCAGAAGGCGCGAGAGTTTTATACAATAAATACATTAGGAGAAAAAAAGTAGCGAAAGAAGTGAAAGAAAAAACATCTGTACAAGGCATATTCCTTTATTGTCGAGATAACATACACTGCAAGGAAGACATTAGCTGCTAATGGTAAGCAGCTTAGAATGAGTAATGATATTCGCTATAACTTTTAAGGGTTAAAGTTAAATCATGACTGAAATGCAAAGGGGATTTCTGTGAGTAAATAGAAAACAAAGATGGTATACAAAAAGTTGAAGACAAAGCTGTAGATAAGCTGCAGCTTCCATCTTCTGGTTATGAAAGCGGTGGGAAATCTCAGGGATAACGAAAGGTAGATAGAATAAAATCAACTAGAAACAAAGGAACATACAATGTCTTTCTTATGCTAAAAAACATTGATAAGTAGACCAAAGAACAATGATTCTTTAGATTTTTCTTTCTTATTTGATTTTAAGCGTATTATTTTTAATTGTACTTTCAGAAATGAGAATAAGGTTGCCAATTGTTGAGCAACCAATGCTCTTAGTAGTGATTTCTTTTGGGACATTTTCCATAATGATATTCCTTCACTTTTTACTGTTTTAGTGAAGGAAGACTGTGATAGGCTAGCTATCACTTAATTGTTGTTTTCTTTTCTTAGTTTTCTAATAATATAGCTCTTTGCATTTGCTTCAAAAAAAAAAAAAAAAGTAGACCAAAGAAAACTGAGGATGACACTCAGCCAAGTAACTACTAATCCTCTTAAACAAAATAATGATTCACTAGCAACGTTTATACCAAATAATAGAGAAATACAAAAAAAAAAAAACTTCTGCTGATTTTCTTGGATGACAAAGGGCACAGCAATCAACCGATGGCTGTTCTTCAACCGTCCCAACAAACGGAAATTGCAAAACCTAGGCACCGCTTCAAATTTTAATTGAGTAAGCAAAATCGATCAATGAACAAAATCTCCAAAAGACAACAAACGAACCAATGTACTACCCAAATATCGAAGAAAAGAAACCCCAAAAGCCAGCTCAAATACGGAAAAGGGAAGCTGGACTCTCTCGTCGATACAATAGAAAATGAGTGGAAACAAAAACAACCTGCCCAAGAATCACAGAGGAAGGCCAAGCCGAACTGGATAAGTAAATCCATAGGCACAGTGAGAAACCCGCAAACCCCTCCTCTCCAAAAACTCCGTCTCTATTGAGGTCTATTCGGACATCTTTGAGCATCAAGTACTCCTGCTCGCATTCTCCGGCGGCCATCGCCGGAGCCGAAGGGGTTCTAGGGATTTAGAGAGAGAGAGAGAGGAGGAGGAGGAGGTTTTGGGTTTTAGAGAGAGAGAGCGGAGGTTGAGATAGACGCAATGAATAACTTGGCCCGCTTCTTTACGCCGGTGTGTTAGTTAACGGTCTCAGCTATTCCGATTATAAATTAGGTATACTGGCAGACCGATCTTCACCGTCCAATGGGAAATCGTTCCCTGATTGTTTTGATCGGACGGCTAGCTTCGATTCAATTGACATGGAATAACGCGGAGATTTTTGCCGTGATTAGCTAAAATTCTGATGATGAGTCAGTTGAAGGATCTAGAATTTAAGTCTCCATTGAGTTAATTAGCTAAAATTCTTTTGAAATAGATGTTTTAACTCCATATGAAATCAGTTAGTAAAGTTAAGGGGCTGTTTGGCAACTAGTACGATTTAATTTTAATAAGATTTCTTATAAATTTAAATTTAATAAATCTTATCTAAATTTTATTTGGAAAAACTTTCTTATTATTTTACTTTTTAGACTGCAATCATAATTTATATTCGAACATGCTTTTTTATTGTTTTTAAGAAAATTTTATAACGAAAAGTTTTTTTTATAATAGCTTCAAAAATTTACTTTCTATAAAGCAGTTTTATAATGTAATAAAAAAGTTATCCCAAACAAAATCGAAAGTTTAAAAGAACTATTTTGCAAAATAAGTATTAAATTTTGATAGATGATGTTAAATTATTTGAAAATGAAATCCAAAATTTATGACGGATATTTGAAATATGAGTTTTATGGCAAACTTCATTGGTGGCTATGATGAGTAAAATTTTGATGTTAAGACGATGATTTTCAAAATTGGATCGGACCAGTTAGTTCAACCAGTTCGATCGTGAACCGGCGATCTGATCAGCTGAGATAACCTGCTGCACATAGAACCGGCAAAAATCGGCTAAGAACCCGGTTCAATCGGGCGAACCAGGCGATTTTAGAAGAACCGGACGGTTTTTAAAATCTCAAAATCAAAGCTGTCCATCTGCGATCGAACGGCGTAGGGATTTGATCACACGCTATTACTCGCTTGCTCGTCTGCTCTAACATAACCAAACCCTCGATTTCGACTCCCTCCCGATTCCTCCATCGGTCCATCCAAAGAAGAAGGCAAGAAGCAGATGGCCTCTTTCGACCTCTCAACCGCCAGCGCACAACTAACCTGACACGCTTATCTGCTTCGACTCACCTTTGGTTGCCGACCGAGCTCGAACTAGCCAGATCCCAACGCAGGTTGATTACGAAATTTCTAATGTGATTTCTCTCATCTCTGTCATTTAAGTTAACGATCAGTGTTGATCTTTTACCAATTTTTGTTATTTTTTACACTCGTTGAATTCCATATGGTTGGATCGGCTGAACAATGGTCTCTCGGCTACGGAACACAGTATCACTTTAACTTCTTCCTTACTTATTTCAGGTTTTTACTATAAAGCTATTTGATCTGGTAATATGTAACTAGAGCCCTTCATTCAATATAGTAATCTGATTTTTAAACTTTCATGCTCATGTTCTTCTATTACACTGTATAATATCCATAGAATTTTTTTTTTTTCGACTTCCTGCCTGAATAATTTATTGGTGGATTTGTCCCATTGTTAATTGTTCTTGACATTAAAATAAGTTGAGTTTGTATCAGAACGTGGAAGAGAAAAAACAAATAAAGAAACTTGATACCCAAAATTTTATAGAAGTATTGAAAATGCAAACTCATGGTCATGCAAATTACTGAATAAGTACCTACGAGCTTATAAATGAACTTAAACAAGATTTAAAGAAGAGGGACTTACATTCACAATAAAGTTTATCATATTATATTCTCTAAATGATTTTAGTATTTTTCACAAGAAAGTCAATAACTCATGGATGAGATGACGAAAGTGTTGCACAAGTGATTTTTTTTCTTTATACAAGTGATCAGTGCTTTGAACGATTAAGCCATAAATTTGACCAATCTTTATTCACCATTATCTTCATTAACCTTGATTCTATATCTTAAATGGACATCAATGCTTTGGTTCTTCTATTACATCTGTCTAAATCCATAGAATTTTTTTTTCGAATTCCTGCCTGAATAATTTATTGGTGGATTTGTCCCATTGTTAATTGTTCTTGACATTAAAATAAGTTGAGTTTGTATCAGAACGTAGAAGAAAAAAAAACAAATAAAGAAATTTGATACCCAAAATTTTATAGAAGTATTGAAAATGCAAACTCATGGTCATGCAAATAACTGAATAAGTACCTACAAGCTTATAAATGAACTTAAATAAGATTTAAAGAAGAGGGACTTACATTCACAATAAAGTGTATCATATTATATTCTCTAAATGATTTTAGTATTTTGCATAAGAAAGTCAATAACTCATGGATGAGATGACGAAAGTTTTGCACAAGTAATTTTTTTCCTTTATACAAGTGATTAGTGCTTTGAAGGATTAAGCCCATAAATTTGACTAATCTTTATTCACCATTATCTTCATTAACCTTGATTCTATACCTTAAATGGACATCAGTGAGTTATTGACTTTATAATTTTAGAGGAAAATTTTTCATTCATTTTATGATTTTTAATAATATTAGTATTTATTGTATTATCCTGTTCGACCCCGGTTTGATCGGTTCGGCTGGTTGAATCATGAACCTCCTGGTTCGTTGTTCGGTCCGATTTTCAAAACCTTGGTTAAGACATCGATTCTCTTTATAAAAAGTGCATTCTCACATTTATAAGAGAAAAAACAATATAGCAAGTGCATTACAAAAGAAATGTTAAACATGTTGGCTATTAAAAAAGTTCATCATAAGTGTCACTAATATGAAGAAATTGACAAAGATAAGCTTTAACACCCTCATATCAACTGTAGATCCCTCACAACCAGAAGCAACGTAGAACTTACGATTAAATGACATTGTAGCTATAACATTCTGTGAAGTGAATGTTTTCTATTTCGGTGTCAATTTTGCAGCTCTTTATTCACTACGGTGAGAATATAAGTACCATCTCTTACACTAATAGCATTTTTAAGTAAGGGTAGAATTGTTGGTTAAAACATATAAAGGGTTGGCTTTAATAAATTCTTCTGCTAATGATACAATCATTCTTAACTTTAGATTGAAATAGCGGGTCATTGTTTGAAGTGAATGTCAGAATGACTCACAAAGCTGTCTATAAAGTATGTGGCAACCCCTCCAAAAAAAATAGTGAGTTGTTCATTTGTTCTCATGAACCTACTATCCATTATCAAGCTACAACCAACCAACTACTCCAATTATCGAAATGCCTTAGTGGATAACTTTAAATAATTGTAAGACCATAGCATATAACTAGAAAGAATATTGGCAATGCATTGTCGCCCAGTGTAGGCCCTATTGAACATGGGCCTTTGTATCCTCTGCTCCCTTCTAATGACTCAATTAATTCATTACTAATACAAATGTGTTAATTGAGCAAGTTGTTGAACTTGTCGAACATGTCATGTTGAAGATAGTTAGGCATTACTATAACTGATGTAGAAAATCAATTATTCATTGACATAAGATGCAATTTATTAAAAATAGTTATAAGATAAACATCAACAAAAGAAATTTCTTTTATTAAGAAAAATAGTTGCGATGACTTACATGCAAAAGAATATAACTAAAAAAAGGTAGCATACTAACTAAAGATTACATGAACAGTCTAACAAATTGTAATCAAGGCAATCATGCAGGCACAGCAAAAAAAACATGGGTGGCGACTAAGCACACTCTCAATGCATCAATTTAATAATGGTCCTTCCCATTTCATTAAGGTTATCTAGATTTTCCAATAAGTCCTCATGGACAACAAGTATTGCTTCAAATGGAGATATTATCCAAGCTACCTGTTTTATATAAATATTCATCAATAGTAAACAAGGCACATTTTGTCGTATTTTGTGATGAATTTCTTTGTGCTATTGTTATGACAAACCATTAATTCTATTAATGTAACATATCTACCTTTTATTTGTTTTGTCTATTGTTTTTGTCGGCATCATCAATTGATCGTATGCTCATCAATATTGCACTAGCTCGTTCTTCTATATCTTCATCAATATCAGTGAAAGCATGATTTTGCATGACATGCATCTTCTCTATAAAATTAACCCTATTGGTTGACATAAAATCATCACCAGTAGAGTCATCGTCTTTTTCTTTTTCATGTTCTGACTGATTGACATTTTAGCTAGAACGTGTTGTTGTTCCTAATGCAATTTTGTCCCAACATATTTTTTTCAAAGATATCATATCGATTAAAAGAATTCCTATGAAATCTGTCCACCTTGGGGTATGCCTAAGAATGGCAAAAAGAAAACATGGGATTAAAAGATTAGTGCAAATCAAATCGACTATATGTTAAATATATGTTTAGGCTATCAATTGTATATATATTATCTCATCTCAAACTTCATCTATTGCAATCGTCGAATGTAAATTTTCATCCCCTAGCCACTACAATTTGAAAGCTGATATATCATACGTAAGTTGAATTTCATGTTCTTATATATCGTCATAACTATAGACTTTATATAATTCATGCCTAATCGATGATTCAATGCATGCACAACCTCATGCCACGCTTCTTTCTTGAGTACACTATTTGTCATATTCTGACACAAAAACTGCTCCATACATAGCTCACCTAGAATAATGTTATGACTCTCTAGCTTCTTTGGTGCTCTATTACTCTACTTTGGTTGCTTTATGTGAATTGAGATATCTTCATCCAAACATGGGTTACCACTTGTGTTGCCCCATTATAGAGACCTCCCCATCAATAATCTCTTCATTTTTACTGTGCAATTAAAAAAGACTTATTTATTTTGATAATCATTCATGTGAAAAAAAAAAAAATTATAGAATTTTACACTTGTAAAGAATTGTATTATTTTTATTCTCAAAATTTCCATGTTGATGGTCAGTGCATTTATGTGGGAGATAGTTGATGTTTAAAGACTCATTATCACTTAAGTTGTTTAAACTATCAAATGTGAAATGATTAAGAATATTTTTATTGAGATTGCTAAAAAAACATTATATCTATAGATATTATAGAGAGAAAACATTTAGGATTGATAAA